ATGCTGGCACTCTGCCACTTGAGCCACAACTTTATTTCAGGATTTTTGGTGGTTAATTGGAGATAAGAATCTAACAACCTTTCCTGTCTAGAATGGTTTCAAAACTCAATCTTCACATCTTAGCCTCCAGAGTAGCTAGTACTATAGGCAACAATACTCAGCCTTGTTAGTTATTGTTTTATCATTTTATCATTACATACTTAATACATATCTCAAAATACCATACTTTACAACATAAAATTTTCACAACTAAAATATTTTAAACCATTTTAGTGTCAAAAGCATTACCTTTGCCTGCCCATTCTGGGTGTATGCTACAATCCTGTCACAGTGTAACTGCTGTCTCACAAACCCATTCCACAGCTTTATTATCTAGTCCATGCACTTATAATATTCTCCATCACAATCTGACTCTGTCAAAATCCAGTATTTAAAAGACATAAAATAACTCATGAAAATGTCAATGCACAGTCAAAAAAAGAAAATGAGGAAAAATATTGGAGGACAAAAGAAAGAAAACCAAAAATCGGTATAATTTTGTCAAATAAATTAGCATGTGTATTGTGATTATACTTTTTTATGTTATTATTAAGTAGTGTACAAAGAGGTTATTCTATGTCAGTTTATGAGTACAATGCATTTTGATCAGTTACACTTTTCATCGTTCTCTCCTATCCCGCCCCCCCCCCCCCCCCCCCGCTCCTATCTCTCTCAGGTTAGAAAGTTCAATTTTTACATACTGTACATTGAATATGACCGCATTTGCCTCTTTTCTCCCTCTTTTCATGTGCCCTTCCCTCAGTGGCCTCCCCCAAAATAACATGTTTCCCAGTGGTATTTTGTGTCTTCTACAGTATTTCACAATGCCCAAATCTAAACGAAAGGAAGAAGAGTATACATAGCATCCAGAACTTTGTAATAACAGCACCACATCAAGTAATATTGAGAATACAATACTGTAAGATTTTGGAATCTCTTTGAGAGATTCTCATTCTCTTTCTTTCTAGGTACATGTCCTTCTCCTTTTGAAATGAATTTTGAGTTTAATTAGCTTTTCCATGAGCTTCCATAACTGCCTGTATTAGCATTCTTTGGTCTCAGAAAACATTGTTTTTAGTGGTTGATCTTATCAATAGATGTTAATAGTTTTGTGACTGTTTTGTGTAGCTGTTTGATTTTCAAATCTGTCACCCAGGCTGGACTCCAATTCCTGGGTTCAAGTGATCCTCCCACCTCATCCTCCTGAGTAGCTGGGATAAGAAAGACACACCACAGAACTTGGCTCTATATTTTTGTACGCGTATACTTTCCACTTCTACATTTACTAAAATGTCTTTTAAGAGTTTGTCTAATGACCATACCATAACTTTAGCATCTACCTCTTATCTTCTCAACCTTTACCAACAGCTACCCATCTCTCCCAAATAGTGGATATCTGAAACTAAGAGGTGACTGCTCCAAGACTTAGAACTGACTAATAATATCAGTCTCGGTGCAGTGGTCAATGCAAGGGCATTTTTAGGAGTAACTACATCCACAGGCCATATTAAGTTCAAAACATGGAACTTATATATAATATATATCTACATATAATATATATATGACTTTTGGAATGAACATTTCCATCTACAAGGCAGGATAGAGCTCTTATAAAAGCCTGAAAGGAGAGAATGAGATTAGTCTAGCTGATGAATACATCAACTAAGAAATAGGAGAGGACGCCAGAAGTAATTGGCTAAAAAGTAATACAGCAAGTATTTTGATCATACAAATAAGTTTTTACAGACTATCTGAATTTCAAAAAATAATGTTCAAAATTATGCTTAAAGTATATGAAGTCAAAAATACCACCTTAAAGCAGTCATATAAATTAGGATGATGCCCATGAGTCTAAGACAAAATGCATTGCCAGTATTTCTTGGTAACTAGACAGACGCTGAATAGGTTTAGTATGTAAATGTAAGATTAGAAAGTTTGGTCCAATCGCTCTCAGTTGTTGGGTGGTTTTTTTCCGGTTCTTCCTTTGCAGTATCATGGCAAAAAAATTCATAATTAATGAAAAGAAAATTGACCAGGTTTACTGTATGTTAAGCATTGTGCTAGAGAATTTTATTTATGTACAATTTTTACTTTTAACATATTACTCATAAATAGATTTAATTTCAGTGAAATTAAATTTCCCTGACCCCACCCCCAATGAAAGAGAGACCCATAATTCCATTCAAACATCCCCTACTCCCAGTTTAGAGCACTTTGATGCCCTTGTGTGATGAATGAAAGAACAAAACTTAAATACACACAAAACATCAACTGCCCTAGGATCCAAAATGGCTTGGTAGGTACCAATACTGATTCTATCTTGATTTAAAATTTCAACACTCTGTTCATCATGGGTTTTGTGAACTAATACTTCTTTAATATGTCATTTAATTTTTGACTTCTTGAGTTTTTCAGTGTCCCCGTGTGTGTGTGTGTGTGTGTGTGTGTGTGTGTGTGTGCATGTGTGCATGTGCATGTGTGTGTGTCAGTCATGGGTCTTACACTTTGGGCCTGGGCACTGTCCCTCAGCTCTTCAGCTCAAGACTAGTGTTCTACTACATTGAGCCACAGCATCACTTCTGATTTTCTGGTGGTTAATCAGAGATAAGAGTTTCATGGACTTCCCTGCCCAGGCTGGCTTTGAACCATGATCCTCAGATCTCAGCCTCCTGAGTAGCTAGGATTACAGGTGTGAGCCACTGGAGCCTGGCTCCAGTGCCCCTTTTAACTTTTGCAACCAAGTTCATTTTATGGATCAATTTGACTGTCTCACAGATTCCCAGATTATTCATTATTCCTGGGTATGTCTTAAAAGGTGTTTCTAAAATAGCTAAGCTCAATATTGGTAAACTGAGTAAAGCAGACTTTTCTCCTAAGGCCTTCAGATTGATACTGGAAGTAAACCATGGTCTTGCTTGATGATGACTACTGCTCTTGTGACTTTTCAGCCTCTGTAATCATAGGCCAGTGCCTGTTGATAGTGAAGAAGAAAATTGACTAAATATTGGTTCTGTTCTCTGAAGAAAACCAATATACTCCATAGCTAAGATATGGAACCAACCCAAATGCCCCTCAGTAGATGAATGGATCAAGAAAATGTGGTATATACACACAATGGAATTCTATGCCTCCATCAGAAAGAATGACATTGCCCCACTTGTTAGGAAATGGAAAAACTTGGAAAAAATTATATTAAGTGAAGAAAGCCAGGCCCAAAGAAACATAGGTCCCATGGTTTCCCTTATTTGCAATATCTAGTATATGTATGAGTCAAGCGGAAAAGGTCAGATAATGTGATGTCAGGAAAATGAACCCTTAGATATGTATTTTAATGTTTTTTTTTCTTTCATGCATGTGTTTCTAACGCATTTATAAGATTATCTCTTTGTTGCTTTGCATGTCCCTCCCCCACAGTATAACCCCTGCTTTCACTATATTTGATGTCAGTATAACTTGTGGAGGAGATGGGGAAAAACCAGTTGTTTAACGATACAGGTGGACCTGTTGCAACAATGAGAAGTACAAGTTGTCATGTCCAAAACGAGCTTTACAACGTAGGTGCGGGGTGGGGGGAGGCGGGGGGAGGGGGGAAGGAGAAGGATTGGGATTGGGGGGGGAGGGGGGAGGCTGGGAAGGGATGTGAAGGGTAAACAAAGGAGGAGGCTGCAATGCTTGGTAAGAAAAGTACGCATTATCCTGCCCATGTAATTGTAACCCCTCTGTACAGTATGTTCACAAATAAAATTAAATTAAATTAAAAAAAAACAATATACTAGGAAATTTTTCTATCCTAGTCCCTAGATTTATGATCTACATCCAGCCTAGAAAAACTTCTTTCAAAAGGAGCCAAATGGCAAATATGTGTGGGTTTTGTGTCCATGTGGTCTCTATTGCAATTGCCCAACTCTGTCATTGTAGCACTAAAATACCATAGATAATACTTCAACAAATCAATGTGGCTACATTCCAATAAAACTTTATTTACCATGAAATGGAAACAAGAGGGCTTTTTGTTGTTGTTGTTATTTGGTTTTGGTTTGGTTTTTTTCTCCTTTGTTGCTTTTTTTTGTTTGTTTTCTATTCATGTTGTCTTGTGTGTAAGTTATCTGTTTGGGAAATGGTAAAGGGAGAACTGGAGGGACAAAGGGTGAACAAATGCAGCAGTAGTACTCACTAAATACTATGCTCAAAATGAACTCTACAACTTGTGTGGAGAGGGTGTTGGGAGGGAAAAACTGGGGAAAAATAAGGAAAGAAATGACACTGTTCAAAAAGAACAGCATTCATTACCTGACTTACATAACTGTAATCCCTCTGTACATCACCTTTACAATAACAATTTTTTAAGAAACTGTATTCACAAAAACAAGCTACAGAGCACAGGCTATCATTTTCCAAATCCTAATCTACACTAAATTCTTACTTAGTTATCAGTGCTTAACAGTGAATTAATCATCATCAAGTTGTCTCTAAATAGCAACTGCTTATCCATTCTGAGTCAATGCTTACAATATAATTGATTTTTATAAAAAAAATTTCTAAAATAAACTAACCATATCACTTCCTCCTTTTAAATTTTTAACACAGAAAACTTGTTAAAGAAAAATTTTAAATACCCACAATCATGCTATTCATCCATAACTGCTACTATAATTGTGAAGAATTATCTTCAAATCATTTTATACATAATTTTATTTAAAAAAATATATTGTTGGGTGCTGGTAGCTCACACCTGTAATCCTAGCTACTCAGGAGGCTGAGATCAGAGGGTCTCAGTTCAAAGCCAGCCCAGGCAGGAAAAATCCGTGAAATTCTTATCTCTAGTTAACCACCAGAAAACTGAAAGTGGAGCTGTGGCCCAAAATAGTAAAGCACTAGCTTTGAGCAAAAAAGCTCAGGGACAGTGCCCAGGCTCTGAGTTCATGCCCCACAGCCATCAATATATATGTCGTCGTAGTCGTTGTAGTAGTAGTAGTAGTAATCAGGGTAGGCTAAATTTGTGGTATGTCAACAAATAACAGTGGCCAATCTTCTCCAGAAAGGCTTCTTATTCCAACTATCTGTCCACTGTGAGTTTGCAGGAGCTTCATCCATCAAGACCCAAGCCAGTAGACACTCTACCACCTGCTGCATCTGGAACATATGGCCTCTGTAGGAGACAAAGCAATGTCAAGGGCCTTTCCCCAGCTCATCTACTCTTCATCCCAGAAATAACACTCATAACTTCCACCACAGCCTATGGTCTAAAACTAATGACATGTTACAGACATGGGAAGAGGCTAGGAAAACAGGAAGGAGCTAAGTGGAAGATGTGGTGGTTACTTCCATGTTTTCCACACCAGGCATCATTTCATTTCTCTCTCTGCCTCTACAATGGGTGGCAGGCTTTCCCCCACATTCTTCCTCCATTTAGATATCAGTCTGTAATTGAGTCATCATTTCACTATTGCCAATATTGCTACGTGCCAAGCATTTACCTGAGTTCTGTACATTATTTAACTTTTAGAACTAGACAATACAATACACATTTTTAAAATGCTGGAAAGAGAGCGACCCAGTGAACTGAAGTAATGTTTGTAAGGTCAATAGCTGCTAGATGGCAGATTAGGGATTCAAGGCTGTCAGGTTTGAAGCTCGTACTCCTAACTGACATGACTAGGAATTACAAAGCTGTAGTCCAAGCATGAAACACACCCCTACTGCAATAGGCTTTTGGCCAGAAAGTACAGCATCAGAGGACAGAAGGATACATTTGAGTGTAAAGATATCATATTCCCAGTTACTTTTAGACTGCAGAGACTATAGTCAAAAAGAGGATTCTAACAGATGATTAAGTTTACTATTCCAGGACTTGGGGGAATAGCTCAATGGTAAGTCATGTACTTAATATCCTCATAGCAAAGAATTCAATACCATACACACACACACACACACACACACACACACACACACACACACACACACACACACACACACACTACACACACTAAGATATATATCTAACTCTCAATTTGTTCTCTTTCTC